CATAAGTGATAGAGTTGAAATATTATAGTAAAATTAATAGTTTTTTTGTGATTTTTTAGGATTGTATTTTGAGTTAAAGATAGTCTCATTTTTTAGTTATTCAGTATTCAAACCATATAATTATATTGAAAACTAACTTTATTAAAAAACAATAATTAGATTTAGTGCTAACTTTATTAAAAAATAATGATTATAATAAGAATTAACATTATGTATTGTGATTTCAGATTATAGTATTTTTTTGTTTTATTATTAAATTAAATGCTTTATCAATAAGATAAGCTAACAATACTCTGCTTTTAATTATTGTATAAAAAAGAGCAAGACCTGATATAATGCTTAAAAAAAGATGTTTGGAGTAATCAAAATCAAATGACTGTATTTTTGATAAGCTATATTTTGTGTTTGCTGTGCTTAAAAATTTTTTAATAAATTATTTAGAATTATGTTCTACTATATTATAACAAAATAAATTTATGCTATCTAATACTAAAGTTATAATCAAATTTATTTTGTAAATTATAAAAATATACATATGTGCTAGCAATAAAAAATTTTGAACCAAAAATAATTCATATTAGAAGGGTCTTCTCCCTTCTGCAACAAGCATATGAATTGTCTTTCAAGCTTCTTTCTTTGTTCAGTTTATTTTTTTTATCTTCTTTTCCTTTTTTTTTTTCTTTATTTTATCTTTCTTTATTCTTTTTCCTAACTTTTTTTTAGTTTAAGCACTTTTTTTTATTTTGCTTGTTATGTTCATCATCTTTTTCTATTCTTGTATTTTTCTATATTAAACTTTTTATACTTGGTTATAGAATATATTCCATACTGTTCTTGTTATTATTTTTATGCATCTTTGTGTTACCTGTTTATCTAGAATTTAACTGATTCTTTTTTTTACCTTGTTTATAGTTAGCACTTTTATCAATGCTTTTCTGTTAATAATTTCTTCTGTTTCTATTTTCCAAATATTGCTTCATATAGCACTCAAGATGGAATTCTAATTTTTTTATTTTCTTTAAGACTATTCCATGCTGTTGTTGTTACTACCTTTTGGATTCTCTTTCACAGGCTCTTTTGTTCATTGCAGCTTGCCAAATATGCCTAAATTTTCTTTTTATCTGTTTAACATACTTGGCAATCTATTGTTATATATATTTTTAGTCTTGTTCTGTTTAATTCTTCTAGTATTAGTAAATCATCTATTATGTATTTAATTGCTGTTGCTCTTTTTATACTAAGTTTTTTTGTTATGCAGTATATGCCTTTTGTTCTATTCATCTCTTTCCAAAAGCTTGACTAATTATATTAAATATTCTCTATTCTGGTTCTAGTATTTGAATTAGATTTGTTTTTTTCCAATTGGCTTCAATTCTGGTATTTGCAACTATTTTGCAAAAAAGTCTTATTGATATATTAATTTTTTTTGTTTTTCTATTCTAGTTGATACTTTATTCTGTTACACTTAATCTTCTCTATAGATATTGTTATTCTATATGTTGCTTCTTTTTTTGTAAGTATATCTGCTTTGTTATTTTACTTATTATTGCTATGACTCTTAACTTTAACTAGTTCAATTCTGTTATTCTTGCTTTTAACTAAATCTACAATATTCATTATTCATATTGCATTTTTCTTTTTTAGAACTTTGTTATCTTCTAACCCTTAAATTGCTCTATTAATGTTCTTTAGCACTGCAAGACTATCTGTATATACTTCTATTGTCAACTGTTGAAACAAGATCAGGGTGAAACTTTACTGAGACAAGATCAGGACAAAACTTTAAATTGAACAGACTAGTTTGTACATGAAGATTTGTACTGCTTTTTTATACCTTTACGATGCTATTTCTAATGCTTGTATACTTACTAATATTTACTACAAATTGCTATTATTAATAACTACATAATTTATGCGCATATTTAACTACAAATTGCTATTATCAATGACTACATAATTTATGCATTTGATCATGCCACTAATGCTACAATAATTTACTGCTGTTACTAATTACTTTATTAATGACTTTATAATTAATGTGTCAAAGAATTGCTTGAGAAGAGTCATGGTGAGTCATGATTCAAAGTCATGAGAGAGTCATGATGGGTGGGTTACAATCCAGAGTCATGGGCTGTTATGCCGAACTGTTACACTATTCTCCTCTCAAGGAATTTCCTTCCATCTCTTTTAATTGCTTGTCTAGATTTATTAGAATAGCATAGGTGAAATGCGTCAATGGCTTTTTGTGCATTACTTACATTTTCCACTAGTTCTCAAGAGTGTTCACTTATATTGTAGTCCTTTCAATCGACCAAGTAGTGAAGCTTATTTCTAATTAGCTTGGAGTCAAGTATTTTATTAACTTCAAACTTACTTTCTCCTTCAACAACTACAGGTAGAGATGGTTCTGCTCTTCTTTCTAGAATATTGTTCCCTATATAGGGCTCTAGTAGAGAAATATGGAAGGTGTTATGGATTTTGAATGTAGAAGGCAGGTTCAAATGATATGCTACTGGGTTGATTTTTTCGGAGATGGTATAGGGACCCAACTTACGGTAATCCAATTTCTTGGAGGGTCATTTGGTGTCAATATTGCAGCTTAACAACTATATCTTGTTCCTAATTTTAAACCTAGGAGCTTCGTTACAATGTAAATCTGCATTTGCTTTGTAGCATTCTTGTGCTTTTCTTAGCTCACTAATAATTGTTGCCTTAATCTGTTGGAGTTGCAAAGCTTTATCTTCAATGGATGGTACTAAAAAATAAAATAGCATTTAAAGATCGAAATGTGGGTAGAAGCTGTAATTGCGAAAAAAGAAGAGGTTTTAGTTGAAGCATGGAAGGTGTTGTTGTATGCAAACTCTGCTAATGGAAGTAGGTCAACTCAATCGCCTTGGTGGTAATTAATTGTGCATCTTAGATATTGCTCTAACACTTGGCTAACTCTCTTGCTTTGGCCATCTAACTGGAGATAATATGCCGATGACAGATTAATTTGTATTCCTAATAAACTAAACAAGTGCTTCCAGAATTTGGAAGCAAATTGGGGGCTCCTGTCTAAGATGATATCTCTTGGGACACTATAAAGTTGAATTATTTCTTTAAAAATTATCTGGGCTGTCTGTTTAGCATTGATATTTTTATTACATGCTATAAAGTGTGCCATTTTCAACAGCTGATCTACTACAACAAAAATAGAATCGCAACCTGAAGATAAGGGTAAGTCTGTGATAAAATCTATGGATATGAACTGCCACTGTTGTGTAGGTATGGATAGAAGTATTAATAATCCATAGGGGCAGTGTCTTGGAGTTTTAGATCTGGCACAGACATCATACAATTTAATATAATTCCATATAAAAGAATGAAACTTAGGCCACCAATAATCTTAAGTTACTAATTCGCTTGTCTTCTCTATTCCAAAGTGGCCAACTAAACTAGAATTATGTCTTGCTCGTAACACTTTCAACCTTTTGGATATTCTTGGTATGTATAATAATTCCTCTCTAAACAGGAGTCTATTCTCATACTGAAATGTTTATCTGACTTGTATCCAGGGTAATTTGTTAGTTGGTTAATTATGTCTATAGCTAGGGAGTCTGATTTGATTTGGTTACGAATTCGATTTCTCATGCCAATATTAATTGGTGTTATAAATATCACATTTATGTGAAGATTCTTTGCCTTTAATAATATAGAGTGTGTTGACTAATTACTTCGTCATCCTCTTGAAGTTGGTAATTAGGTCTATAAGACAAGGCATCAGACCTTCTTGCTTTTTACCAGCCTGAAATACTATTTCAAAATCATAGTTAGAAAGAAAGAGAGACTATCGGGCTTGTCTATGATTCAGAGTTTTTACAGTAGTAAAATATTCCAGATTCTTATGGTCATAGTAAATAATAGTTTTATGTTGAGTACTTTCCAGATAATGTCATCAGTGTTTAAGAGCTGCTACTATTGCAAATAGTTCCTTATCGTAAACATCGTAATTTATCTCTGTTAAAATGAATTTTTGAGAATAATATATGACAGAGTGAAGACCTTCTTTGTTGTGTTGTAAAAGAACTGCTCCCAGAGCATAGTCTAAGGCATCCGTTTCAAAGACATAGGGCTTTGTTAGGTCGGCTTGAGTCAGAATTGGGGCTGAAGTAAAGGCTCTTTTTAGGAAGGTAAAGGCCTCCTGAGCACTGCTGGCCAATAAAAGCTTGTTGATAGCTTTTTCAATTTTCGAGTTAAGTTCGTTAAGGAGGTGACTGTTTGTGCATAACCTTTAATGAAATGCTAATAGTAGTTGGCAAAGTTCAAAAATCTTTGTACTTCTTTAACAGAAGTTAGAACAGGCCAAGAGAGGAGGCTTTTGACCTTACTTGGGTCCATTTGGGTCCTCTCGGGTGTTATGCGGTAGTCTAGAAAATCTATAGTTTCCTTATTAAACTCACATTTTTCTAATTTTGTGTAGAGGCTATGTTGTTGTAAGTGCTCCAATACAAGCCGTATGTGTTGAGTATATTCTTCTTAACTTGAGAAGTATATCAGAATGTCATCCAAATAAATAATTACAAATTGATCTAAAAAATTCAGGAAAATATTATTTATTAAATGTTGGAATACTGCCAGAGCATTCGTGAGCTCAAAGGGCATTACCAAGTACTCGAAGTGTCTGTAACGAGTATGAAATGCAGTTTTTCACTCTTCTCCTAGCCTAATACGAACCAAATTATAGGCACCTCTTAGGTCAATTTTGGTAAAAATCTGAGTGCTAACAAGTCTATTAAGGAGTTTAGGTATTAGTGAAAGGGGGTAATGGTTCTTAATAATGATTCAATTTAGATCCTGGTAGTCCACACATATATGCAGAGTTCTATTCTTCTTTTTGACAAATAGGATGGGTGCACCAGCTGGAGATTTGGAGTAACAGATAAACTCTTTTTCCAGGTTTTTTTGATATACTCCCTTAAAACTTCAAGCTTTTGGATCAATAATTCATAGATAGGACCTTATGGTGGTTGTTTACCAGACAGCAAATCGATGGCACAGCCATACTGCCAGTTTACAGATAATTTATCAGCTTTATTTTTGTTAAAAACATTATTGAAGTCTTGGTATTTTTCAGAAACAATTGAAATATTAGTAGAGTAAGAACTAGATGCTAGTGTTGTAAAGACTTGAACTGTGTATAATTGTTCTTGTTTGGAATTAGCCTTTTTTTGGGTCTTTGGGTTTAGATGATGTGCCTTACACAATAGGTTAGTAAAAGTAATAGGTTGCTCATGCCAGTTAACTGTAGGATTATATAGGACTAGCCATAGTAAGTCTAAAATCACTGAATAGTGAAAGGAAGGGATGAGATTGAATGACAATTCCTCATAGTGGTCTTGGGAGCTCAGAGATAATAGTTCTGTTTCATGTGTAACATTCCCTAAAGAGATCTCGCACCCATCAATTACTTCTATCATTAATGGTGTTTCTTTTTTTTGGAAGCTTATATTATGTTTTTGGGCAAATGTGATATCTAAGAAGCAAGCTAAAGTGCCAGAATCGATCAGTGCTAAGATATTTACTTTGGGTTCGTCTGATAAACCCAAACATAGTTTAAAGATAAGTGTGTCTGTAGATAGGTTGGGTGGTAGAATTTTAGAAAGTAAACTAATATCTTGATTCAGCCAAAGCCCTCTTACTGCGACTGAGATTGCTCTTTTTCCGAAAACCCCTTAGAAATCACAATTGCGTCAATTTTGAGCTAAGGGTTATTTTTGTTAAAGCAATTCTTGGCCATATGGCCTGATTCTCCACAGTATAAGCAAATATTATTTGTACAATGCTGTTCTTTCTCTTTGACAGACAATAGCTTATATTTTATAGCATCTATTTGCATGGGTTCTGTGGTTGGAGTAGATAAGCTATTGGGGGCTTGGTTAAGATATCTTTTCGAATTCAGGTCTCTAGAATGCTCCTGTCTATGTTCCAACAGTCAGTTGTCACAACATACTGCCTTCGAAATTGCATTATTTAGTAAAATGGAGTCTTCTAAGGTAAGAAGCAAATCCTTTACATTGTTTTGTAAGCCCATTCTGAATTGGTCAATCAATGCAATTCACTCTAATCTAAGTCACTAGAAATTTGCCTAAATTCTGAAGCATAACTTGAGTCTGGTCTTGATCCCTGAATGAGTTTTCGTATTTTGTTGGCAGCTGTTCTGAACTTATCAACATCACCAAACGTTGCCTCGAGCTCTTTAACTAATGTATCAAAGTCATCCAATAGTTTTGATTGTTTTTCTAACAAAAGAGCAAACTACGCAAGAGCTGACTCTGTAAGTAAACTTCCAAGAAGGCCTACTTGCATTTGGTTATTAGAGTAGCAATTTGGTTGCATTCATATTACAAGACAGACTTGATTCAAAAACCCTCTGAATTTGCTTTGTATGCCATTAAATTTGCCTGGAAGGCTCACTTTGAGTTCTTTATATTGGCCATCTGTATCACCAAGAGCATGAAGTTAGTTAAGGGTATTCTTTAAGTCTGCGTTTTCTTGGTGGAGTGTTTGGTTGTCTAATTGGAGTTGGTTTAAAGTAATTAATATATCATTAAGGTCAGGTTGGCCCTTCATTTTTTATTTTATTATATGTATATATATATTTTTTTATTATTATTATTATTATTATTATTATTCCAAGATCAACTGATAGTAGGTAAGTTAAGATATAAGGTGCCGAAGGGGCAGATAAACATGTGATTTATTGAAAGTATAAGTTGGGTTTAACTTGGTTGCAAGAACTCAGAATAGTAGTTTGTTTAAACTGTCAACTGTTGAAACAAGATCAGGGTAAAACTTTACTAAGACAAGATTGGGATGAGACTTTAAATTGAACAGACTAGTTTGTATATAGAGGTTTGTACTGCTTTTTTATACCTTTATAACACTATTTCTAATGCTTGTATACTTACTAATATTTATTACAAATTGCTATTATTAATGACTATATAATTTATATGCATATTTAACTACAAATTGCTATTATTAATGACTACATAATTTATGTGTTTGATCATGCCACTAATGTTACAATAATTTATTGCCATTACTAATTACTTTATTAATGACTTCATAATTAATGCATCAGAGAATTGCTTGAAAAGGGTCATGGCAGGTCACGATTCAGAGTCACAGGAGGGTCATGACAGGTGGGTTATGATTCAGAGTCATGGGCTGTTACAGCAGACTGTTACATCTATATTCTTCTCTTCTGAGACAATTAAAATTGCTAACTATATTGCTACAAATTTTGCTATTGTTGCTAAAGACCAGCCTTTGAGTTCTAATACTATTTCTTCTTCTGGCCAGTTTTTTTTATTACTGATCTGTGCCCAACCAATGCCTATTTTTTTATACTATTTTCTCTTTTTCCTTTATATAATGCTCTATCTGTATCAAAGATATACTTGTCTTTATATCTTATCTTGTTTCTTATTAGAACTTCTATTAAGTATGCTGTGATTTTACTATTTAATTTTAGTTTTTTGATTAATTCTATCTTAAGTTTTTCTATTTGTTTCAGCCCAATTAGTCTTCTTTTCTCTCTTTTTCATTCTTTTATTGTTCTGTTTTCTAGTATCTGTTCTGATATTGCATTAATCTTGTTACTGTTTTTTTTCTATTAGTGTTTCTAAGACTGCTCTTATATTATTGTTTCATCTTATTCATCTTTCACAATTATTTGTTACTTGTTCTGTTCTATTTTCACATCCTTTACATTTGCTTATCTCAGTGTATGTTTTTTCTTCTACCTCTCACAGAAGCCAATGTTTAGCTAAAATCTTTTTTTTTCTTTCTTAATATTTTGCTAAATTGTTGATTGTGTTTTGGCTTATGTATAATCTACTCTTTCTTTCTTCTATCTTTCAATATCTTTGTTCAATTAATCATTAGTGCCTAATTATTGTAGCTATTGATTTTGTATTAGTTGTGTATTTCTCTGCTTGTCTGTGTTATTAACATCTTTTCTTCTATTTTATTAAACTATTTGGCTTTTTTTTTCTTTACATAACAGTCTTTGGAGACTTTTAGCTGTCTCTATGTAATTAGACTCTCTTTTTTCATATTTATAAGTTAGTTCAAGTATAGTAAGCCTCATCTATTTATTGTGCTACTACTTGTTATTCAAAATTTGGTTCTAACTAAGTTTCTTATTCTTGTTTCATAACCATATACTTTCTACAGATAGTTTTCTGCTCTAATATTAATTTTTATTTCTTTTGTCTTGAATATTGTCTGACAAGCTAAGTTGCTTCCAATACTTTGTTTCTTCTGAATTTCTTTCAAACTCCCAAATATCTTTTATTAAGTCTACTCTTTAGCACTCTTGTACTATTCTAAGCTTTGTTAGATTATCTAAAGAATCTTTCCTATTAAGTCTTGTAAGTAAACTACTTATTTGCTTTGTTGCTATTTCTTGACTTAATGATTTATAATTTTTTAAATCTTTGTGCTCAATTGTGCAATTATTTGTAGTTTTCATCATGTTGAACTTATGTTTAGCCAAACATATTATCAGTTGGTGGATCTTGTCAATCATCTTTTTTGACATTTTTGTTAATTGCAAAAAGTATTCTAATTTTGGAATTATTATTGTATTGTTTATAAATGCAATTTGACTCATTGTTATTTTTTTATATCTAAGATCTTTAACTGTTTGACTAACTATTTCTTTTGTCTTTTGCAGACTAATGATTCTCTTATTTTGCTGTTTAGCCAATTCTCCAATGATCTTATAATTTTGTTTTTAGTTCTTTTGTTATTCTACTTTGTTCAAATATAATTTCTCTATCTTCTTTTTTTTGTTTAGAATTCATTACTATAAGCTTTAACTTTGCTTCATTTATTTTAATATCATTTGCTTTGAAAAACTCTTTTGCAATTTCAAGAATTTTTAATAATTAGTCTTTGCTTTTTGCAATCTATGTAGTATCATTTGCATAAGTAATTGCTGTTTGTCTATATTTTGTAATACAATTAATGTCTGTTTTACTTAATGTCTCTTGTTCTACTATATAGCCTAATGATTTGTCTTCTTGAATTCTTTCTAACAGTGGATTATAGAAAAACCACCAAATTAGTGAAAAAATTACTTCTTCTTGATCTATATCATCTTCTACTATTATTTTTTCTATTAGACTGTAAGCTGTAATTACTTTAAGTTGTTATTTACAAAAGAGGTTAATAATATATTTTATTGTTTTTTATGATATTTTGATTTTTTTGAGAGCCTATTCTAGACTTTCTAGTAGAACTGAGTCAAATGCCTTCTTTATGTTTTGCAAAAGTATTCATATTTTTTTTTTTTTTTTGTGCTTCTTCTATTATCATATTTAGTATATATATTGGTTGCTTTGTTGAGTTGCCAGACAAACCTGCATAGTTTGATCCTTTGAGTATTTGTCTTTTCATAAATATCTTGGTCAATCTTCTTGTTACCACCTTTGTAACTAACTTCCTAAAGATCTCAATTAGTGCTATTGGTCTAATATTTTTTATATTATATCATCAGTCTATATCTTTTAGAATCAAATAGACTTGTGCTATTTTTTATTTCTTTGGCATTTCTTCTGTTTCTAGAACCAGGTTTGCAAAAGCTTTAATAATCTTTTGTGATTTTTTTTCTGCTTATTTTATTAAAGTGTAGCTTATGCCTGAGATTTCTGGAGTTGTATTTGCTTTGAGTTTTCTTAAAATATCTTTTTACTCTTCTTCTTCTATTTTTCTTTCTAACTTTTTATACCAGGATTCTTGGATCCATTTTTTTGGATTGTATACTTCTTTCTATTCCTCTGGCATCTCTTTTAGCTTAGTTTTTTGTTTTCTAAATTGGTTTCCAAAATGTTTTGTCAGACCATTTAGGACAGTCTTAGGTTCTGTTATTAGACTGACTTCTTCTTCATTTTGGATTATAAATCTGTCAAGAATTATCTTTTTGTATAATTTGTTCAACAGGCTAGTAATTATTCATTCTTAATCAGTTTTAATTATCTTACATTTTCTGTTTATATTTTTTTCTATTTGTTTTCTTTGTACTTGTTCCTACTCTTCTTTCTTCTGTCTTTTAAGATTCTTTGCTAACCTTTTATATCATTTAATCAAGTTTCTAACCATTGTTTGTGTAGCTTTGATAATGCTACTCCTATTTTTTTGTTAATGTTTTTAAATTTATTGTTTATCTCTTTTTTTTTTCTTTTTCTGTCACTTGGTTTCTTCTTGTTTTCATCTTTTTTATTATTTGTTGTAGTTCAATTGTGTGTCTACATTGCTATGACTTCTTTTGATGATGTTTTTTGTTTGTCTTTATATTGAATATCTTTTTTTTTAATATTTGTTTATTTGCTGCTTCTATTATAGCTTTTTCTATTGTATTTCACATGTGGTTTAATATATTTGTACAGTATACATTGCTTATTCTATTCTTTTCTAATTGCTTTAGCACTTTTTTTCACTCTAATTATACTTAAAGCTCTTTAGCATATATTCTTTCTAATTTTTTTGTTTTGTTTTCTCATATAGGTATATTGTCTTCATTTGGTCTTTATGTTAATTTCTGTGCAGCTGTGATTTATGATTACATGCTTTACCTATATGTTTATTGTTAGTATTTTGTAGTTATTGTCTGTTATGCTTTCTGCTTCTTCTATGTTGGTTTCTTGAAGGCCAGTTGCAAGTGTCTTTAATAACCAGATATAGTCGATTTTTGTTGCTACTTCTTGACTTGATCACATATATGCTCTTTCTGTTAAATGCAAGCTTCTAAAAAAGTTTATAAACTCTTGTCTTTTAAGCTAATTAAAGATTAGTATTTTTTTTTTTTTTTTGCTTTTGCTAAGACTGTAATTATCAGCAGCTACTGCCTTTATTGTATTTTTAATTATAGTTACATAACTTGTACAAAGTAAGTGTACAATTAGCTACTTGTACAACTTTTGATTGTCTAATTTAAGTAGTTTGCCTACATAGCAGGTTCTATACTAGTTGCCATACCTGCAATCTACTAGGAAATTACTTATTTTAAATACTCTGATTCCTATACTACATTGATAAATAGTATACAAGTTTCTATACATCTATATTAGATGCCATCTAATCTAATCTTAACCTTCCTTTCTGTACATCCATCAAGCCATTACACATTTTAGAGTATATCACTTGACTGTAAAGCTAAAGAATGCTTTTCTGCTAACTAACTATTCACATTTAGTTCTTATTAACAGAGCTTGCACTTGCAGAGTTTATTCAGACCCCAGTACTGACTTTATAGTATATTTCTGGTACTTATAATATACTCCTGTTTTTGATCTCAGACTCTCAATCCAAATAGCCTAATAAGACTATGACCTGTTTCTAGTATCCCAAGGTCTTTTTCTTCTGGTTCAAAACTTCTGATGGTCTGGTTAGTAGTACCTCTCATCTGAGGTTCTTGCCTACTCAATTC